ATAAAACGAAACGAAAGGACCTTAGCGGTTCGACGATTATTCACGCTATGGCCATTTGTTATCGGCAGATTACCCGCGCAACGTATTGACGAATGGATTAACGTCGGGTTTGCTCAACGCAGCAGATAAGGAGCCGATAAGGGACACGTAATTGCGACGAAACGGCTGCCGACACTTGCCACGGTAGGAGGTCTCTATACAGCGGCGTCGTTCTCGGGCTTCTATCGCCATGTCGCCGAATCGTAAAAAGCTCGGCAGCCGCACGCTTTGCATACGGCACGTCCAATCGCAAAATCCGATGTCACGTTTCTACGTTACCCGTTCGAACGTTTTCTTATCGTGCGCCGTGAGGCTGTTCCGGTTGTTAGACACAGACGTTTCGTTTATTTTATTCGGCCGCGTTTTACTTTATTTCCATCGACGGTGAATAGGTTTCCCATCGGGGTTCGGGGATTAAGTAAATCTGGTCACGTTGGACGAAGCAGGCGGAACGAGCGAGTGTGCGCGAGCTGGAGCGATGCCCGCGATGGATACGCGTTATCTCGTATCGAGTCCCCGGCGTTTTATCTTCCGTGTGTAAAGAAGCGACCCCGAGCTGATACCGAATGGAAACTCGAAGACGGACCGTATTTACAGAGAACTTTTCTCGAAGAGAAACGCCCGTACAAAAGAGCCTCTCTCGCCACGGGCGGCCGGCTACTGCAGTTTACTTTCGTGTAAACACCGAGCTCCCGCGAGTCCCAGCCTGTTATCGCAGGATTATTTCTTTCATTCGTTCCCGACTTAAGGATACTAAGAATAAAATATGCACGGACAAGGCTCTTTGGGAGCCGCGTTTCTTCAGTACCATTCCCTCGGTCGTTCTTCGATAATTAGCCCTGTTAATTGCGAAATATCGTCTCTCTTTTTCTTCCCGCTTCGCAACCACGCCGCGTATACCGATTTAACGAGTGAGCGAGTGAGAGAGGAGCGCAGAGAAATGGTATTAAAAGAATGTTTACGAGAGACCGGTTCTGGTGTTAAAGTATAATAGGACGCATGCCTCTGGGTCTCTCTCTCTCTCTCTCTCTCTCTCTCTCTCTCTGTCTTTCTTCTCTAAGGCTGCCGGGATTAATATCGCTAATTGTTAGTCTCAAAGGATGCGAAGTATGTCGGCTCGAAAGTCTGCAGGGGGCTAAGGCAACGACTTGGAAAATTAAGGATTAAGACTTCGGGGCTAATATTGCCTCGTCTTGTATGAAACATGGACGAGCTTGCTGTAGGTGGTAATTCGGAGAACAAAGGGGTTTTTGTTCGGCTTAAGAACGTTCTCGCGAACGGACGTTCGAACGAGTTGATACAAATAATGTTTATCGCACTAGCGGAAATTCCGTATACGTGTCTTGGGTATAGCATTTCTAGATAGAAATGTGTTTCTTAAAAATGAACGTGAGCCGAAAATAAGAGTATGAAATATTTTCATAACGAGAAGGTACGAATGCATGTATATGTATAAATATCGGGAGAGACTTGCGAGATCCGTCATGTTTTTAAGATGCGTCTCGACGTATTGTTTTAAAACACCGCGCTATCATTCTCACATTACTGTTTGCTTTGCCTTTGGACTTCCAAAGAGGGAGATTCTCGGATTTATACGATAAGAATGCTCGTTCTTATTCGTCTGCCTCTAAAATATCACATTTCACGTATCGGGTTACGATTTATCAAGTTTTTAGGCATACAGAAAATTTAAAAGGGGGATATCAGATTGCGAGTTGCCGCGTTGTCAAAAGAATATTGACTTTTTCGAACCAACTACGACACTGAGCGTTAAAAAGTTTGCATTAATTCAAAGACATTAGTATCAGAGTCATGAGTAAATATCGGCAAACGACCATAGATATCAACAGCGCGCGATAATAACATTACTAAATATCTTTATGTTAAATACTATCTAATTTTCCGCTCCAACCGATTCGAGCCACAACGGTTACGCTTTGCGAAAAATATAATACGATCGTTAAGATGTATCCTGTATACTCGACGCGAAGTCAAGTGTTACAGACTACTGTTACAGACATCAACAGACATAATTAAGAATGTATCAACGCGTAATGGATGGTAACGCTTATCAAGTTCTTTCAGCCGGTCGAAACAGTCCGGTCGCGTCTGGCTCCGCCAAGAGACTTTCTTTTCTTCTTCTTCTTTCTTCGCTGTAAAACCAGCGTCATTTATTATAATGCCTCCGGTCTGCGCCATACATATAAACATCTTGGCCTTTAGAAAGCACAGGGAACGGTTACTTTCACTTTTACCTATTCTATGTATCCGCGCGTGTACCCTATCGCCTGTGTAATGCATGGATCCATTGAAAAGGTGTCGGACGATCCGGCGAGTGTTATTTCCACGGTCACTTTCCTACCAAGTTTTCTAACTTGCCCCATCTCTGAAAGGAAGGTCTCTCGTATCCGTCGATGGGATTTGTGGGATCTTCCCCGTTGTAAACCTATCGTTTTCCTCGCTACGAAGGTTATAAGTTTCCTTGTACGTCGACCAAAAATGATACTTCGATTAAAGATCCTTGGATATGTTTACAACTTGGGGGCAGGAATAAATGTATGGCGGAAAGATTTCTAAAATTATCAACCTGTCTATGACACACCACGTATGTAATTGCAACGTATACGCGAGAATTGAAATGTTTTTTAAACGAATAGGAACCGAGGAAGGGAGAAAAAATGCGGGCGAAAGATAAAAGTAACCGGTGCACCGGGTGATAGATCTTTATTAGAGGTCGGTGGTGCATAAGTCACGCGACGGGGGGTGACTTTTAGCCATCCTCGTAATTCTTTGAGCACGTACGCCAACCCCATGCGTATGCGTTGCAATAATGGGACGCAATTGCGGCAAATGATCATCGGTTTTACCTCAGGGCCGCTCATAATTCGTGGAACAGGTCTTTACGTGGATTATATAGCAGACTGAAAATCATAGTGATGCGAGTTAGCGAACTACTATTTTTCGTACGATAGTGTTTTAGTCCCATTAGTACAAAGAAATTCAACGGAATTTTGGAAAATATGTCGCGATGCAAAATAAAATTATAACTTAGTCAGATAGTTCCATCAGGGAGTGTACAACGTGAAAAGCTTGTTCGAATTTTGACTTACATGGCTATGATTCTCAGCTCGCCATATGACGTCGTCTAAATTGCACATTGTATTTTCGAACACGATACATCTGTTAATAACATCGGTCTTGCATATTTGCAGAATTAGCTCGGCAAAGACAGCTGGCTCCGTATTCGTAATAATCGGTAATCGAAAAGAGTATATACGCATACATTTGAACATCTGTTTCGATGATTTAGGTAATTGCATTAATTTAACGAGAATTGTTTACAAATATATTATAATTATTGTTTGTATATAGCCTTATGGAGTTTGCCAGCATTTCAGGATATAAAATCATTTACAAGTATCGCGGGGATGTAGCTCAGTGGTAGAGCGTTCGCTTTGCATGTGAAAGGCCCCGGGTTCGATCCCCGGCATCTCCAGATTCCTTTTTGTCTCCTCCACTACGTATGTTTCTTTTTTTATGTGCTTTTCATTACAGTAATTCGTATCGAGATTTGCCGTACGCTACAATCTTCCATTACAAAAATATATACAAAGTAACTTAAATTGTAAATTAGCGTAATTCTCTATTTATACGTAGGCATAAACACGCGTTGCCAGGATTAATCACAGAGTAAAATCATTGACACAAATGTCATATAGGGAGACAAGAAACACCGTAATTATGGCATTATAGGCAATCTCGGGAATAAGAAATATGTAGGTTATATTTCGAATCTCGCACTTATACTTTGATTTTTGCGCAATTTAATCTTGATTACCAATAAATCAATGGAAGAAAAAGTAGAAGTCGGTGGTTTATGCAGTGAAATCTGATATTCGCGTAAAAAAGCACGGAGTTAAATTGAAATAACAGGAAGCTGCGGAGCACACGTATAATCATCGATTCCCCTCGAGCGTGCGGTCGTCCGGTATCAGCAATCAAAAGTTTCCTCTCCGTTTTTTCCCTTCTTTTCCATTTTTTGCCTCTCTTTTTCTTTCTTTTCGGAAGCCTCGCAACTGCCGTCCATCGACCGGACCGACATTTTACGTTTCACGAAGCCAGAAAATCGCGAAATTCGCAAGGATTTTATTAAGGTTTCCCGATTTAATTTTCCGAGGATACAGGACACTACTATTAAACGACCGGAACACGTTTCCCGACGTCAACGCGAGCCAGTAATACAATAACCGTGTTGTCACGCTGACAGAGAGGCAATTTTAGGATTTCAGTCAACACAGCCCTCGAGAAACTCGCGAAACAAACGTTCTCCACGCGTTCGGAACTAAATTTTAATTACTCTACGTCGCGTGTTTCCGACCAATAGCTCGCCGAGCCGTGCTCGCCAACCTACGTAAAGGAAAATTCTTTTCCCGCGTTCGATTAAATACCGAGGCAAATCGTTCGGACCGTCGCGTTTCTTTCATCGGTGGAAAACAAAGGCGAAACACCAATGGATATATGTTCGCATATCGGAAGGTAAACGGGTTGAGGGATCGCGGAGGATGAATGCCGATCGAGCGCCCCGAAGGGACCGATGCTCGCTTGTTCGTTCTCGTTCGGATGCCTTTTTCCCTTTCCTCTCGCATGTTCGTCTCTCGAACAGGAGAATCGATCACGATATAGTCGGCAATGAAATCGAAAAGAGAGAAAGAAAGAAAGGGGAAAAAGAGGCAAGAAAAAAGAGGAAAGAAACGTTAAAAGGAAGGGTGAAGCAGAAAATGCATATAACTGCAGAATCGTGTTGAACGCAGCGGAATAACGCGGTTTCCAACTTCGACGTTTGAACGTTTCCTAATCCGATTAGCGCAAAAACTGCATCCCATTGCAATGGAGCATTGGCGTTACGAACCGCGTGGCGTCTCTCTGCGCGAAATCGTGTACCACGCAGCCTGCACCGCCTGAAACTCGGCTGTACGCAGACTGCACGCAGACTGCACGCAGACTGCACGCAAGCAAGCCGCGCGGTTCATTTCTCAAGCTAAACGCATTTATCGGTGATGCACCGAGGGAGAAAATCAGAGCCCTCCGCCTCTCGCCGCCGACGTCGTACAGCCATTGTCCTCGCGTACGCGTCGCCGTTGTGTCAGAGAATGCCGTGGCGAGGTGCCGAGCAAGGGGCTGCGTCGGAGGGTTCGGAGTGGAAGGACAGGGAGTAGAGGGTTGCACGCCATTCCTTCGACATTACGTCATACGTCGATTCTCTGGGGATTCCCACGGCGTCAACCCACGCCGAGAAACTTCGTCGACCGCATTCAGCAGGTAATACACCGCCGTTTTCCACTTATCACTGTTATTAGGGATATTAGTCAGCCGGTGGAGTTATGTACACTTTCTTTCTCGTAGGATACCAAGTTTTCTATTTGCTTTCGTCTGACAAGAGTTCTCTGTTGGTTACCTATTAGAAGAAGGAAGAGCTCGCGGTGTTTGTGTACGCGAAGAAAGTAGGTTTGTTGGTAGCGTGTAATACGTACGAAGAAAATGAAAGCTACGAGATCGATTCGCGTTGAACGGAAAAATGGAATGGATCGAACGAACGAGTTGCACGCGTTCGACGCTGGCAATCGTCGGATAAGAGCCATCCTCCCGTAATCGTTTTTCCACGTTCCAACCGAATCGTTGCTGGGTGAAGAAGTTTAAACAAAAAACAAAACAGAGAGGGAGGAGACAGGGAAACTGTGAAAAAGGGAACAAATAATGGAAATGGTGTCTCGCTTAGGGGTAATCGTCGTCGCGTGCTCGCAGAGTAAAAATGGGGCTGCCGCGGCTGATTAATCATCGGCAATCTCGCGAGAGCGCGTCGAAAGGACGCGGCCATTAAAGGCAAACGACGAGAACTTCGTCACCGGTCGGCGTTCGACGATCGTGTTCCGGGGTTGAACGAGTTATTTTTTTTTCTCTCCCTTCGCGCGACGATACGTGGCAGAAGGAGAAACAGAGACGAACGAGTAATTTAATTGAAATTCCCCAACCGTGCCCTCACCAGCGGTGGCGCAGAAATTGTGGAAAAATCGAGTCATACGATCGCCGGGGCTGCGTGAAAATGGAATTACGGCGGAGAAACGAGGTTTGTCCGATGATGCAGGTGAACGCCGGTTTCACGAGGGATCGAGCAGCCGAACGTACAAAGGGATGAAAAAACATAGACTCGTCGGTCCGCGGAAAGACCGAGGGTTTATAGGGACAAAATTTTTTTACGTTTAAATTTCAGCGTAAATTGGCCTTGCAAAATTACTCTCAATTACTCTACGCGATGCTCGCGAGTGCGAGAGCTCGTTCGATCGCAACCATCGTGCGTATACAGAGCGTTCTGGCTGCCTGGCCTCGAGCAGCAAGCGCAACTCGACTGAAAGATATCCTATCTACAGCGTACGTACGAGTTTGCCATACGTGTGTATGTACATATGTGTAAACGCGTATGCACGGTGTACAAATTGGTCGGCGCACAAATTGATCGATAATCTGACCGGTAATCGAGGAGTTTTCCGAAACGTTGCGTTGATGGCTCGTACAGCCGGAAATATTATAGTCGGGCGAAATCAGCCTCGAAATACCGACGGGACGGTGATCAAGGGTCGACCACTTATAGCGCAATTTGTTTTAATTAAAAATCGTCCGTGCCTGCGGTACAATGAAATTCGCATTATACGCGACGATGCACGGCGATATACGAATTTCGTTAGCGAAAACGCAACGTGAGATCGATAGCGATACTGTACCGATATCGCTGTATGGTATAGCGTCTGACGAGTCGATGAGTCGCGATATTAAATGTACTGGCTCGGTGTTAATTATGAATCCATGGGAGCACGCGAATCGAACGATCGTATCGCAGCGGAGGCCTCATTTCGATATGCACATTTTAATTAGCGCTTAACCGAAGAAAGGACGATATCTCGGTGGCGAGACAAACAGAAACACCGTAATTCGATTCGGAAGGTGCAAATATTTGATAAGGTTGTAACGTTGTGTTACCAGAGGTTCGCCAGAGGCGTGGTAGCTTGTAGGCGGAATCGGTGCAATGAAGTGCATATAGACACTTCATCACCGCGCATCCGGAATCGCCGGAGGTCAGTTACGCGAAAATATTCCCCGTTGTAACATCGTGTTTCGGAAAACGGGAAGGCTGCCTTCGGTGCGGAAACACGCAAACTCCGCCTATAGCCTGCTTGTTTCGCCCATCTGAACCGTCTATTTCGAGTTTACAGCGGCGGAAACCCGAATCGAAACGGAGGTCAGTTACGAGAAAATATTGACTGATCGCGCGTAATGGCACACCCGAGCGCCAACAATAGAATCGTGCCTCTGCCTACGTGTACGTAGCTATCGCGATGCGAAGCACGCGTACCTGTACTCGTGCGTATCCATTCTCGTACCTATGCCTATGTACTTGTACATACACGTATATACGCAAATTCACGCATCCATACATCGAAACATGCACGCGTTATCGCGTACGAATCGCGAGTAGAGTCGGCTAAGCGTAGAGACGCGCGGCCCGATGTTAAAGCACGGACATTTCCTGGTCCTCATCAATTGTCATTAAACGACATGATTATTGCGCGTGTTGACGATTATTGCGGCGATAGGCCGTTACCGGAATATCCAGCGAAGCCCGCGGTCTCGTAATGATCGATGCTCGATACGTACTCATCGAGTATTTCGTTAATGGCCGGGACATTGTGTCGAGCGATGTGCACGGCCTCGCGAAAATGCCAAAAGCCCTCTCCCATTGACCGTTAACGAGCCGTTTCGAGGAGAGCGCGTTTTATCCAAAGAGTCCCTTTGGTTCCGTTTTCCACATGATGTCACGGCGGTTGTTATCAGGGCGCGACCATCGATCAATGACCCTGCCGATAAATCGCCAATGCGATAACATCCAATCGGATTATTTCGTGGTTCGCTGATTATTTGAATTTTTCCACGTGATTCTTGCACGACCACGCTGATCACTTCGATCGTTCAGGGAAAGATCGTTTAACGCGCGAAACGATCGTATCGTCCGGTTAATCGTTAGTCGGACGAGAGATGAGTTTGCGTTATCGAAACGAACGAACTGTAAGTCACGAAACGGAGCACCTGTACGTACGTCGAGTATATTATCCGGCTACGAGAGCCTGTTCCCTTCGATAGGTCCGATGATTCGCCGAAAATAATAGATTTATCATCCCCAATTGGCTTCTAGCAGTTTATTTCATGGGAATCCATGGACGATGAACGCCCCCGCGCGAGCCCCTCGTAACGCAATACGCCGATATAGGCGCAAGGATTTTCTCTATGATATGCAACATGCGGGACGTAATTCAGTCGGTGCAAGTCATCGGGATCATCTACGTAGGACTACGATCGCCGCTAACGATCCATCATTTACCGCGACAGCCACGAGTATTAGGTTAAAGTGGCGGCGTGATTCTGCTAAACGCGATGCTAAACAGGTACCGCTTCTGTCGCGAACCTTTCCACCGTCAAGGAACGATATCGTCACGTATCGAACTATCGATACGTACACGTTACTCGTCGATATCGACGTCGATCGTAACGAGCGTGCACGCGTAGAGGACGTTAACCGTACGAGGAAACGTTATGAAAATTTGTACAATGTGATTTCTAGAGATCCGGTAGTGCGATAAATAAATGAAAAAAGTGAATATATCCGAGGTAAAAAGGGGCGAGGTTATAAAACATCGGTGTAAAGAATACGAAATCGCGACGTTTATCTTCTATTTTGCAGTATGCTCGTATCTCCAACCCCGTAACGAGGGGATCCTCACTTGCAAAGACCGATTTCGCCTTATCTGTCCGGCTTATCAGCTACAAGAATATTCACGCGAATTTATCGATCTGTCCGCAGTCGTTTCGGCATGGCTGGCGTTTTCTTTCTTTCTCTCTCTAAAGCGTTAGTTTTACGCTCGTCGTCCCCGAGAGACGCGATAAGGAAAAAAAGAAAAGACGAGGGGAAGGAAGAAGGAGAAAGAAAGAGGAAAAATAAGAAGACTCAAACTCGAAGTCGCGTTATGAGCATGAATTTTTATATTGAGATATTATCGCGCCGCTGCCGGGAAGGGAAAATAAAAACGAAGTTTCGTTTCGCGACCATAATGACGTACGTTCGTGCGTATCATCGCCGATTTCGTCGCTTCTTTTTCTTCCTTTCGTCGAGCTGAATGTGCAAGCGTACCTTTAAGAAAGAACAAAAAAGAAGAAGAAACAGAAACTACACGAGAGAGAGTAACGACCGTTGAAATCGATCGTAAAAATTTTCGTTCCTCGTGAATTAAGTTTCTCCCCTCTTCTTAACGGTGGTTAGAGCCGTGTTACGCGAAACACGATGCTTCGTTGGATTACGCAACTCGTTTGGCAAGAATAGACGACCCGCGTGTACGCTCCTACACGTATAACACACACTGTCGGCAGAATGCGAGACCACCTCTTTATCATGATGATAACCTGCGACGATCGTCCGTAGGCCGCGATGAAAACGTTTAATCATTGCTTCACGATGGCTACTTCCTGCCTTAATTGCCCGTTTGTTGACTTAATTAATTGTTTCTAGCGCAGGAGAAGTAATTTCTGACGTACAAAAATAGGCTACATCGCGTGTAACGTATTGCTGCGTTTTCCAGACAACGTTCTACGAAGCATAGAGATTTTATAATTACGTTTCTATTTAAGCAAGCTTCAGTAAGAATATAAGTAGAAACGTAATACAAACCTCTTCAAGACATCAAATTTATTTATAAAACTGGAGTAACTATTGTTGGTGGTTTCTAGAACTTACTTTAGTTTTATAAATGAATTACAAGTTTCTAAGAATTTCTAGTTACGTTTCTTCTCATTTTTACATTTGCTTTAAGATTCCGCATAGACCAAGGAGTAACCGAGTCGCTCTTAAAATTATTTTAACAACAATCGTGATTAGCCTGCAAATATGCATAGCCTATTATTTACTTAAAAAAATATATTTCGCTTTTCCTATTTAAAAGCTGAGGTGATTATTAAACGTGTCGATTCGTTTAACAAAGATACGAGTGATAAAATCGTAATAGTCGATATATTAAAATCTCTAATATAAATTGCTAATTACTCTACTATTGAACTGTCCGAGAGAGCACCTTCGTCTATTTATAACTACAGTTGTTATCACGAAAAATTCAAATGTAACTTCGGTTGACGATTATAAATAACGGCAATAATATTTTGTCCGGAGTTTGTTTACCTTTGAACCTAGCAAACAAAAAAAACGTTGGTATTCCAAGGCACAATAATATGAGTCTGTCCTGACTCAAATCTTCCGTTGACCGATGAGCCGCTACAATGCATATCGGAATACTAGAGATTATTGAATCAAGATAGCAAATATGATAGATCCTGCTATTAAAATTTGATGTAATAAAAAATGTTTGTTGGGTAGCACGGTAACTCGTGTTATGTAATATATATGGTGGCGTAAACGTCATCTACGGAGATAGGGACGAAAAGTTTTCGAGGCAGCGTGGCCGAGCGGTCTAAGGCGCTGGTTTTAGGCACCAGTCCGTAAGGGCGTGGGTTCGAATCCCACCGCTGTCAATTCCTTTTTTTTTTCGCTCTTACAATTAACGATAGTCGCCAAAGTGTAAGATGCACACGCAATCTCATTTTTTTTTTCATAAATATATCCGATATCGTAAAATTTACGAAATTCACTAACTACAATTTTGTTAGATCTAGGAAGATATGGGTAATCGATAATTCACGATGTCGATCCTTTAGGAGAGGATCGTAACGATAAGTAATGCAATTTTACATTGTTATGCCTCAGCGTAGCATACTGAGTATCTGTTAAAGCAATGCACACAATGCAAGTTAGTTTAAGCGTGATATGTAATAACCGTGTAACAGTATAGAGAGAAACGAATACTCTGTTATTAGTATTCATGTCGCAAACATTTGAGTGTTAAATATAAACTTGCATGTATTGTAAAATATAATTTGTTAGTTCGATAAAGCTAAAAAACTAAAAACGTCGTGTAAATTCTAACTTAAGGGAATAAGTTGGTAAAGTATCGAAGATATAGTTCGTGTCTATGGTTAAAATGGTTATGGTTAAAAATTTTGGTTAAAAAAGTCCAAAATTCAAAGGTCCCACCGAGATTTGAACTCGGATCGCTGGATTCAGAGTCCAGAGTGATAACCATTACACCATGAGACCCTCGAGAAGGGTTAATAAAAATATAAACCAAATGTGACCTTGAAATTGTAGGTCATTACCATAAATACAGAAACGTCACTGAGACAAGGTCAAGAATCGATTCGATCGTAAGGCAGCACTAAAAACTACAAGACTCTTACTGTATATCCATCTTTCTTTAGAAACCAAATTAATAAACAATTAAATAAATAAAATCGTCAAAATATTTTAAGCACAGATGATCGATACATGATTCAAAACGCCATGATTGAATCAATTCACTAACGTGTAAGGATATCTTTCTCTAAAAATGACGAAAGATGTATTTATACATTTCGATTAAATCTTAAAACGTGTATGTAATTACGTTAAATAGGAATAAAAATTGTTTCAGCAAGATCGATAATAATTATAGATATCTGTTCTTCGATTTATTCGTTTGAATTAAAAAACGGGGATGTAGCTCAGTGGTGGGATGTAGCTCAGTGGTAGAGCGGAGCGTTCGCTTTGCATGTGAAAGGCCCCGGGTTCGATCCCCGGCATCTCCAATTTTTTTTTTTTTTTTTTACTCTTCACGAAATATTCATTTAGACTTACTTACAATATCCCATTATTGGCAGAGGAGAACACGATATTCTGGAAGTCGCTCGGTATCCAAACATACGGGACGGTCATGTACTTGTTCTGACTACACTTGACGTATCTTGTATCGTTCGAACCTATTTATGCCGGTCGTCGTTCAAAGGTGACGGTCGTATACCTGCTTCGATTATAAGTACGTTGTATATACACATTATCTTATATCGTTGAAATCTAATTCTGGCAGTCGTATACCTGCCCGGAGTGTATGTACGTTATATATACGCATTATCTTGTATCGTTCTAATCTATAGCGTTCATTTTTCTTTCCTTATTTCTTTACCTATTATCGAAATAATAAATTGCTTGTTCTAGTTAATATCGATAAATATTATTAGTATCGTTTAATTAATGATATCGTGAATATTATTTAACTACAAGCATTATACTCGTAGTATTTCGAATTTAATGATGTTGTTATAACGTACGCTTCACCTGTGAATTAAACCAATCGACTTCATCAAGATACGTACATAGTACATCGTTCAGTTCCTGACGAGTTAAACTCCAATCATATTGATCGGCTACGGAGATTGAGAAATTTATAAAAAATGGAGTTGATCAGATTGATTTGCGAGTGTTTCGTTTCCCGCGTGCCTCTTTTCTCATTATTTCACATGCACGCTACACAATTAAACGTTAACCATGATCAAACACGTTTCGCATAGCGCTTCGAAATGAGCAGCAACTACGCACTTATGGCACGTGATTGACTTCGCGATTGCGAACACGTGCAGTACGATTATCGACGCGATGCAGCGTACACCGATCGCGAGACGAGTCACACACCGAACGAAAATACGAGTAATACGAGTACGAAAAAAAAAAAGGAGAGAAAGAAGAATAAAGATTAGAGGAATAAAAAAGAATTCATATAAGAAAAGCAAGAGGCAGAAGAATCGCGAGTCGTCGTATTCAATTGGATGGCCATGGCCGTATGTAAAGCGAGAAGCATCGGGGAGATGATAGGATGCAAACGAAGCCGAGCGAAGGAGATTGAATGGTAATAGTCCTCGATTCGTCATATGCAAAAGTTTCGTATAAACGAGTGAAAAGCGGTCCCCGTGGTCGAAGACGGAGAAAGATGGTATCGTTTGAATTGCCGTGCTCATCGCGCGGCCGGATACTTCGTATCTGTTCGTGACGATAAACGCGAAGAGAATAATCGCGTGAAATATACTGTGACAGCTTCTTTTTTTTCGCCTCTCCTCTCTCTCGCACGTTTCTTTTTTTCTTCGTGCTTCCTTCTCTTCTTTCTTCCTATCGCGGAGTATACAACGTCGCGAACCGGAGAGTATTAATCATCGTACTACGGAGAAACGACGCAGTAAGGCAGAAACATAGCTCGGTTGTAACGTAATAGAACCGCCGATGAGTTGGTACGGTGCAAGAAATACACAGCGATGCGGGAATAAAGGCCTTGATTGATCGGAGGTAAACGTGACCGTTTAAATGTTGCGGCAGTCGGCTAGGAAAGAGGCAAAAGACACGGTCGATCGCGAAAAAAGATACGACCGTGGCG